ACACACACACACATAGTTGCAATGTGCCATTGAGTCACCTGCAACTCATAGTGACCCTATGTACAATAGCTCTGAGCCAGTCTCACTGACTCCAACACACTTACCCCCATTACCCCAGCTTCTGTGTCACTTCCAAATTTTCAGCCTTAGGCACCATCTCTGCAAGTCTACTCTAAGTGTGCTCTATTGTACATAGAATTTTAGAAGGCCTGTTATTTCAAAAGTGGATGGCAAATCCTTCTCCCAAATCTGTCTTAATTTGGATGGCCAGCTTTAGAACAATATCTGACAGACAAACGTTTTACCAAAAGGAGCAGATGAAAGACATCTCCCTGTTAGAGAAGTAACCAATAGATTCAGCGTCAGTCCCCCACTCTTGGGCACATGTATTGTCTCGTCCGTTTACCCACTCGACTAGAAACCCCTTTCACTACTGCTTCCCCCATCCAGCACCTCCCTCCTCCCAGCCAACCCTTGATATGATGACTCAGGCCTCAAGTCACTTCTGTGATGCGTCACACCTCATGCTGCTGAAGGTCTCTCATGCTGTGAATAATTGAAAAGCATCTACCTGAGTAACCATTACTCAGATCAGAAAATAGACCGGTACTAGCACCCCTCTCATCAGGACGCCTCAATTCTTCCAGACATAATCACTATCTTTTAGTAAATAGTCGATTGTGTTCCTTTGTGGTTTTACCTCTGATTTTGCATACCCATATAGTATTGTGTAGCTTCATCTTCCTTTGACCTTTCTTCTTCTTTTTTTTTAACTTTATTATATTTGTAAGATTTACTCTTTTGCTGTATACTGTTTCAGTGCCATTTCAAATCTCAAATATAGTTAAAAAGTTATTTTTCTCCTCTCCTTCCTTTTCCCCTTTAGAACTTAGAAGAACACTTTTGTTTTCAAGCACAAAAAGATTGACTCTGACCTCCTGGAATGCTCCGTTTGTGTTGTAAAAATGCCTTAGATTTCTAGGGAGGAATGTTAAGCAGGTGGGATGGGATCAGGTATTACAGGAGCATGAGCAGCTGATGAAGCTGGGGCTGAGGGAGGCTGGGTGACACTGTCAGTAGGTGGTAGAGCCTGGGTCCATGTCCATGTCTGTGAGAAGTCAAAGCCAGGCTCACAGTTACATCCCAAGTAGAAAGACAGCTTCACACGGGACAGGATGGTACAGGGGACAGGATGGTACAGGGAAACCCAGATTCCGGTGTGGGATATGCCAGACAACAAAGGTCTAGGGATACAGAGGAGGGAGAGATCTGGGAAAGCTTCCTGGAGGGGACAGCATTTGACCTGGGCCTTTCCACTGTCTTCAACACCATGCTCCCACCACCTTCCTCAAGGATTCTTTGCTAAATGTAAGAAGGAATGTTCCAGATGCCCTGATTACTGGGGAATCTTCTTGGAAATTACTTATACTTGCCCTAGATAGGCCTTGAACTAGAAGTTAAAAGATCACGGCTACTGGCCTGTCTTTGGACCCTGTACTGACTGCATCTCTGCCTCCCCTTTGCAGATATCTCCCTGGATTGTGACGTGAACTGTGAGGGCAGAGAGGACAGGAACTTTGTGGACAAGGTAAGGGATTGCTGATTGGGTCCAGAAATGAGGACTGGTGTTTAAAGCTGTTCTCAACCCAATTAAGAAGAAGCAAGGACTTGACCTACAGTATCCCCCAGCTCCCAGCTGCTGCCTGCTTCAGAGAGACCAATGAAAACCTAACATTATTACAAGGCCTTCTTTTATCAGGAGGAAAACCATCACCAAGGGCTCTCATTCACAGATATGCGCTGCCCTGCACTACACAGTGGTTTAGTGGCATAGAGAGCCCTTCCAAACTCAAAATCTATGTCAAGTTTTGGCAATTTTTTTCCTAGAAACATCTTAAATTTTTTTTCTGTAAATATCTTAAGCTTTGAAAACCGTTTGGTTTCTGTCACAAATATTCAACTCTGCCATTGTGGTGCAAAAGCTTTCATAGACAATATATAAACAAAGGGACATTACTGTTCCAATAAAATTTTATTTACAAAAACAAGATCAGATTTGGCCTATGGGCCATAATGAGTTGGCTTTCAGGTCTAGGAGAAAAGGGAATTCCAGAGCAGAGTCTGGGTTTTGCTTTTAGGAAGCATGGCACTATTAAAGAACTTTGGGCCAAATTATGGTGGCACTTTATGCCTTGGGAGCACAAAGGAGAGAAAGGTCAAGGTGGGCTGGGTGAGCTAAGAAGAGTGCCTGGAAGGAAGTGTGTGTGAGCTGAATTTAAAGGGATGTAGAAGGGAGGGCATTCCAGGCAGAGGGAACAGCAGGAGGAAAGGCAGGAAGAGAATGGAGAAATGAAGGTGGTGTGAGGTGTAGGGCTGTATGCTGGGAAGTTATCAATGGAGAGAGAGCCATGTTTCTTGAGCCCCATTGTAAACAGCCATGAAAGATAGTTGTGTGGTTTAAACTTGATGCTGAGAGCAATAGGGAGCTACTGCAAGTTCTTAAGCAGGTAGTGCTTCAGTGAAAGGGAAGGAGATGAGAGAGAAGCGAGGAGAGG